GATGTTTTGTCTTTGAAGTTAAAATTCGAACTGTACAAAACTCAGATGTGAACAGAAATTTGAAGATGGCAACAAGTTGAAACGTTTACACAGTTAAAGAAAAAAGGAAAACAGGAATGAAGTAACTTAAATATCCGTGAAATAAATTTCAGTATTGGACTCCATCGTAAATATGGAGCATTACATAAGCTATAGCTATTGTGATGATACAATGTATAAGCCATGATTACAAATCTTGATCGATTCTTCTCGAATTTCGAAGAATTCTAGATAAAACTGTTTTTAAAATAAACTTAAAGCATGAAGATTATACTGTACTCACTGAAATATTTCAAGGTTTCCTGCGCTTGTTCTGTCGTTAAATCTAGATCACCCAGTTGCAAAAAAGACAAATTTTCACCAGCGTAGTCGAAGTAGTCCGAAGTGAAACCCAATTCAAGCAATTCTGCTTCGGTTACATCTCCCGTAGCACTTTCTACTCCACTTTCCACCTCCAGATTATCAGAATTAGATAGAGTTTCTTCTTGAAAACAAATATCGTCTGTGTGTTCTAAGGTAAACGAGTCCTCGTCGTTTGTATTGCTGTTGACGACAGTATATTGCTGGGGCTCTTTCGTTTCACATTCCTCCATTGAAGTAGTAGTTTCGCCATGTTGTATAAACGAAGATTGTTTCAGAATTTCCAAGCCCGCCAGTTTTGCCGTTCTTCAGTGTAAAAGAAGACCTCGAAACAGGCTAGAACCGTCGCTCAAGACGAATATATCAGCAAGAGAGCGTCGCTTTCATCAAATGTACGTACCGGCAAATGACTCCTGTGAGTAACTATCACTGGAAACAGGGTTTCCTTCGCCTAATCAACGTTCAGAACAAGGACTTGTCTTTCAATACTACCTTGCTGTGATTGAATTAACAAACAGATAAACAAAACCGGCTAAAAAACGAAGGAATGCAACAAACTGCCACCGAGATTGGCCATGTATTGGGTTCACGCGCTGTGTAAAATACATCACACTCTTGGTGCCTCGATCTCATGGAACAGTAAGAAATGTACCGGGAGGGGGGGGGGGGGAAGTAGATTCAAAGGTCGTCCATACATTTGCAGCATTTTAAACCTGGAAGGAGCCAATGGCTGCCGAAGGAGAGTGTTTTGAGAACAAAGAATCGAAAAAAAAGATCTGCCAAAAACGGAACAAACTCTTGTTCTTGTGACCTGGGCCTCATGTAGTCAGATCACAGATTGACCACCCTTTGTCTGTGTGACACAGGCTTCTTGCACAAATCAGCTATAAACATTTCTGGGCGATTTATCACCGAGCGAATAAGTCTTCGAAACTTGCCTGCTTTTTTTTTTCATTGCGTGTTTCCAGATGTTCCGCAATTGGTAATTGCTTGCTGCTTAGACAGAAAGTCATTTCCATTTTCACCTGGACAAACAGAACGTTTCCAGAGAAATAAAAAATACAAATACAAGTTTTTCGTCTAAATGTCGGTTAATTTTGAAAGCTTTTAAGCATATTTTATTGCAAGAAGGTCTACCATGTCGACAAAAAACGCAAAAGCGATAACTCTCGTAGTTCGTTTGGATTCACGCGTGTATAGCAGATGTTATATATATATTAAAGTACAGATCTGAGTCCTGGTCGAATTTGCATTTCAATTCGGAAGCATGAAAACCAGATATCTGTCAACGGGTTGAACTATAGAACGATTCTTGCCAACATGTGTCAAAGCGAAGCATGGCTTTCCGTCAGCTTTCATTTTCTCGTTTCTTTCCGGCTAAAGTTGGATGTCTCTACTTGTATATATGATTCACGTTTCCCTGTAATTTAAGGTAATATTTTCTGGTATAGATTTGACTGTTTGAGTGCTCCGAGACTGGCCCAAAAGCCGGCGTAGGAAAACAGCGAAATCGGTTTTGAAACCAACTATTTGTTCAGTATTGACTTTATCTACAGCTTATCTAATAAATTGTAAATACTGACTTCAGGAGCGCACATAAAACACAATAGGGCTGCTGGTTGCCACACACGTATATAGCCGGGTCATGTAAACCGCTCCCAAATCGTAGTGACCTTATTTGGTCCGGAAAATATCTGTATTAAAATTTCTACTTACAAACTAGTTCCTGAAATTCTGAGTCCGAAAAGGAGCTTTTGTCTTCAAAATAACCTTCATTTTCGTTAACCGCCATTATTTATACTCGACAGCACCTTTGCGTTTTCCAGAAAACCGCAACGAGAAACGACCGGCCGGATATAATTCCAAGCTAATTTCTGCCTTAGGTCTAAATCTGAGGGTTTCGTCGCTAGTGCGTTTGTGCGATGTTGTCTGGAAATGCCACTCAGTTTTTATAAATATCTGCCTATCACAAAGTGAGCTATTTCTTGGCGCCGCATACATTTGCAGATCGAAAAAACGCTTCCATTAGGACAGGGTTGTAAACATAACGTTTAACATTGAAAAAACCTGGCACGACAAAGAAAGTTGACAGTTCAGAATGTTTTGTTAAATATCCGCTTCAAACAATACAGCTGCAAGCTTATAGGCCGGATATCTTCGGAGATTCGCCCAATCTGCTAGCTATTTAACTGCTTTTGTTTAACAAGAAATGGGACCCTGCAATGTCTGAAAAATAGTCTGCTTCCTGTTCATTCGTATCAAGAAAACTGCTTTGACTGTCAGTCCTTGTTGCCTTAATGTATGACTTCCGGTTAGTTTTCAATCAGGAAGACAACAAACCGAGTCGAAAGCGCGTGTTTCACTGCACGTCTGTCTGTCTTGTTATTGCCCACAATTCAACTGAAGAAGCGTGGGCCCCTATTTAGTCATGCTCCAGAGATTACTGTGCACACGTACGTAATAAACTCACAAATGAACTAAGAAAAGTAAACGTCAGAGCTACTGACTGAAACAAATTAAAGAGCTGCTCTACTGATTTCTTTCTCTCCTTTGCTTTTTCCAATTCGCAAGTTTACATAGTACTTTAAATTTGTACTGATGAATACTGTGAGACTGGCACAACTGCTGACTTGGCTTTCGTGCACTGGTTCATCTGGCATGTCAAACATGGCTCGGTTTCAACTACGCATGATACAACTCAAGATGACTTAATATTAAAGGATTAAATCCTTGGTTTCAATTATGTAAAACCCAAGTATCGTACACAAAACATCGGCAACCAAACTGAAGCAATATAATCTTAGCCTTGACTGTGAGAAACGAGTTCGCGGAAAATTTTAGAAAGGTCACGTTCGTTTCATATGAGCAAAGAAGCGTAAAACCTTTTGTAAACAAATTGAACACGTATCCCATCATCAAACAAAATCTTTAAGTTTATGTTTTACTGCTTAGTTTGACTGTAAATCGGGTAGTCTAGCCCTCGTATAAACGGCTATGTCTTGTAAGATCGATTGTAAACCAAACCGCTTACATGGAAAACTCATCGAAACTATAGTCAAGTACGTTTTAATACCTTAATAAATAGATCTTTATATACTTACAAATTAGCTCCCCAAATCCTGAGTCAGAAAGAGAGCTTTCTTCTTCAAAGCAGCCTTCACCATTTCTAGCCTCCATTTGACAAAACCTGCACATTATTCAGAAGCCGCCGACCGGCTTTAAGCCTTTCAAAAGACCACGCAACTACTAAGTTTCTGCACGAATGCGTTGACTGTCTGGAAATGCCACTTACAAAGTTTATGTTGTGGCTTTAGTGATGTGTAACAAAGCCGCATGCTTTGCCAATAGGAGGCAGGATTCTAAATAATTGTTTTATTTTGACAAACGTTTGTCTTGGAGCGTAACGAAATCTGCTGATTTACAATTAACCTATCTGCCTTACTCTTCTACTAGGACTACTAGGGACACAAAAGCTCACGAACGTTTCCTAAACATCCAAAAGAACGACGTGCACCAGAGAAGGGTATCAGAAATCCAAGCATAGACTCTGATTACAACTGAAACAAAAATCCAAATTAAGTTCTAGTTTGGACCTACAATATGGGACCAAAACCTGACTCAGCTTAACACTCTTAAAGGTCATGGACTTAGTTGCATTTATTAATCTCGTCGTAATTCGTTCTTTTACAACAAGGAAACCGAACCCTGTCAACAGCTCATACAGGTTAGACCTTACGCCTGCGAGACAAAATATATTGTAGCTGGATTGATATGGATCAAGTTTGTCTTGTGAAACCTGACAGTACAGTGGTACGCCATTGAGACTACTCCCTGGGTTTTCAGGCTCTGAGAATTGCAGACTTGTTTTATCTCCGACTACAATATCGTCGATAGATATATCAGAGTTGTCAAAAGAGTCATCAACTATCCCCCAAAAAAATAAATATAGCTTTTCTAGCAGACTGTTTCCGAGAAGATTTTGTGATGTGTTATTGTAAGGTCGATTTCCCTCTGAGAGCGCTTGAAGTTGCGCTTGCACGAATTAATATTTTCGGTGGATTTAATTGACCGGCAATAAAAGCATGCTTGAAGCGTGCAGGTTATTTTGATTTTTTTAGCATTTTAGGTATGCATACACAGTAATAAGATGCTAGAACTCAGAAATCAAGATCTCAAGTGCTAAAGAATGAATATTCTATTCCATTTCCTGGATATCTTGTCTTCAGTTCAGAAACATTCGAAACTGTTTTCCTCAATCTCCACCCAATTTTCAGTCTTCCATATATTTTTTTGCATTCGAATTGATAGCGGAGTGCCCCAAAATAAACAATTTATGTTTCTAGGTCTTTCTTATTTGCCGGCGGCTGAGTTGATCGGCAAGACCGAAACATTTGGTTGTAAACTGAGGGCCTCCCACCAAGGACTATATGATACCCTTCGTCATCACAGAAGCTTAAAAAAATGCGTCCTCTCCCTTGTTCATCATTTTCGCTAAAGTTCGCTTTAATTTTAAACTCCCTTCAGTTCCCTCAAATAAATGTAAAAAAGAGAAAAGTAATCCCTTGCTCCCATGAAATAATTGATCTTGTTCACTCGTACCCCAAAACCAGTTTCGAAAACCGTTTGCAAAATCTTCAGACATAACTTGGTTTGCAAAATATCGCATTTTGGTGTTTGTACTTTATCCTGCCAACGATATTCAATCCGTTTCGTAACAAACTTGACTACCCTTTTGAATCATATTCTCAAACACTGAAATTGCTGTTGACTGTGCTTTGGCAAAATGCCGCGGCCTTTTGTGCGAGCCGTAATGATTCTTTTCGATAGATGCGGTCTAGCGAAGTGCAATATATTTCAAGACCGTTTACTGTGCAGCTATTAAATATAAACGATAAAGAATAAAATCTGCGTGTAAACATGTGGTAAGCAAAGCTCAATGTCTTCTATTATCAAACTTATTAGTGAACCGCAAAATCGTTTATATTTGTCTTTTAATTAAAACTCGCTAAAACAGGGTACAAAACCACTGCAAAAACATGGTACAGAACGGATCTGTTTTAAGTTCAAAGCGAGAAATGTTTTACTTTCGGGCCAATTAGCAAGGAAATATTCTCTTAGATTTTGCATTTAAATTATTGTTGACTTTGGCTCTCGTTAATGTTTCTGAAATCTTTCCAGTTTACGACGTATATTTAATTTCAGTCTGTTTAGCATATATTTTTACACAGATCTTGATTATAATTTGCGCGCGAGATACCACACTGATCAACTTTCTCTTCCATTACAATTTAAATTTGTAAACAGCAGATGTAGCTAAAACACAATCCATGATAATTATACTTCTGACGAAAGCTCTTAAACCTGGTAACGCATAGTCGATGATCTTTAACTTTTCTCAACAAAAATTCAAATATGGCGATAAACAAACTGGCCATACCTTCCGTTTTGTTTGAAAAATAATATATATATTTTACTTACAAGCTAGTTCATCAAAGCCTGATTCAGAAAGAACGCTTTCTTGTTCAAAACGGCTTTCAGCTTCGTCAGTTTCGTTCATGTCTTCGCTTGCCTCCATTCCTCTTCGACAGGGCTGTTCGGTACATTCTCTTTTAATACTCCACCGCCGGAAAAATTCTCAAACTTTGATCCTTCAATTCGACTGGGTTGTTGTCGATGGCTGTGTTGGCCGTCTGGGCTCGAGTTCTGTACGATTATTCCAGGAGATTCACGGTCAAACCATGATTAGTCAAAACAATAATGTGACTGGTTTAATTTGACAATCGCGTATGTACCAATGGGAAAACTTGGTAAACAATGCTTTGAACTGTCATAATATGTATATTAAGGTTCTTGTTTGGTTATAAATACAATGCATTGTGAGGCTGACTGTATAACTAAGGACGCTATTTGAAAGCTGGCTTTTTGAAACATCTTTTCTGGTTCCACATACGTGTGACTTGTTTCAGCCAGAAGAAAAAATTTAAAAGTTAGTTCACTTAAGGGCGCTATATATCCAGGAGCCATAACCGGGGACGGAGAAGTAAGTCTTATGATCCGCTCGCACCTATGATATGGGACAATTTTTCTATTTTTAGAACAAATTGCGCCACCATGACGACATATATCCGCGCGGATCCACGCACATGTCGGGGGTTCTCGCGTGGATGTTGTCACGTTCCGTGATCAAATGGTGAGAGTTGCGAGATTCTCTTGCAGATTTTTCACAGCGATGGCAGGGAATAAGGCAATGAATAAGATTCAGGGCTCTTACATATAGGTTTATGCTCCGAGCTGATAGAAAAGGTGAATTTTTCAGGGTCGAAAACAAGACTTCAATTTCGCGCTGTGAATGAATAATATCTGCTCGTGCTGGTTGAATGCGTAAGCTTTTGCGTTTGTTCTGTAAAGAAAAATTATNGGGGTAATTTCCCGTGGTCAGAGGCTGCTATTACAACCTGAGCACTAAAGCCAACACTCCAGACCTACCAGGATCTAACAGCAGACCCGACCTCTAAATCTATCAAGTGTTACCACTGGTTTTCCTACAAGAGCTGGGATGACTGTGACCAGTCCATAAAAAACTATCTCTCTGTGAAAAAGTCGTTTCATAATGGCAAACGAAACGAATTATCAAAAACGATGCATTACTTCATCGCTTTGTGAAAAGGACTCGCTGGACAATTGCAAGTTTCTAAATCCAGCGGTAACGCCCACAACGTGTGACCTTGGCTGCTTCAGCTAGACTTCAGCTATGATTTGTGTAATGCTACCAAGGCACCTATTGTAAGCACCATCGTGCTCTTGGCATGCGCCATTGTTTAAACTTGTGAAACTTTTCACCAGCGTGGTAGGGTTAGGTTACGTCGTTGAAGTCCAACAACAATAATAAACGTCGTTTAAGTTTCAACGGGAGCCATAATCGGGGACGGAGACCATAAATCTTATGATCCGCGCGCACTTATGATCTGGGACAACTTTTCTATTTTTAGAACAAATTGCGCCACCATGACGACATATATCCGCGCGGATCCACGCACATGTCGGGGGTTCTCGCGTGGATGTTGTCACGTTCCGTGATCAAATGGTGAGAGTTGCGAGATTCTCTTGCAGATTTTTCACAGCGAGGCAGGGAATAAGGCAGTGAATAAGATCCAGGGCTGTTACATTTATGCTCTGAGCTGATGGAAAAGGTGAGTTTTTCAGGGTCGAAAACAAGACTTCAGTTTCGCGCTGTGAATGAATAATATCTGTTCGCGCTAGTTGAACGCGTAAGCTTCTGCGTTTGTTCTGTAAAGAAGAATTATGAAAGAAAACTGTTTACTCTGGTATCGAGCTA